GAAAATTTCTAACGAGAGCGAGGAACGAACGCAACTTACTCACGAGGAAAAAGACTAAAGTTGTTACATATGTCATCCAACGGTCACCTCTAAGGTCCCGTTAGACTGCGAGCAGTCTCTCTTTTACTGGAAAATCTGTAAGCGAGAGTATTTGAGCAGCGAAGTCGCGCGAGTTGCAACGGCGCGAATACGAGTGCCCTCGCAACTCGCGTGACTTCGCTGCTCAAATACCGGGACTCTCGCTTAGAGATTTTCCAGCAAAAGAGAGACTGCTCGCAATCTAAAGTCCCGTTTATTTGGAGAAGGCTTGTCCCGGATTAAAGGGTCACTAGCCTAGCCTTATTGGAATAAGGATGACGCAGTGGTGAGAGCACTCACCTCCCACCAATCGGTTCGAGTCCTGGCGTCGACGCCATGTATGGGTTGAGTTTGATGTTGGTTCTCTCCTTTGCTCTTAGCTCCGGGAGGTTTTTCTCCGAGTACCCCAGTTTTTTTCCCTCTCCCCCAAAACCCAACATTTCCAAATTCCATATTGGATCAGGAATCATGTAGACAAAGGACCACTAAGTGCATGCGCTACTTCTAAATCGTTAATTTAACTTCTTCCACATTTCCTTACGAAAATTGGCGATTCGTTTAAAACGGTTTGCTCAGCTAGAATGGTAACCTACCTAGCCGTAGTCTGCTACACAACCATTTTTAGTGTCGTCACGCAACGCTATTTCCTAGGTAGGAGCGTTGCGTGACGACACTAAAAGACTATCATAGCCGGGGCATCCTTTTCCGATGTTATGGTCATCCTCCCGGCCGGAAAACGTTTCTCCACACGGAAAATATTTGGCTAGCCCAGCCGGGTCAACTCAGAGCATGCGCGAGCGCTGTTGTCAGCTGTCGGCTTGGAAAAAGGGGGTAAATGTTTCCTCATACAAACGCTCGCTAAAGTTTTGACTCGGCTGGGAGAGCGACTTACTTTCTCGGGACAATTTTTCTCCATATAAGCAGGACCTTAATTAATATAACAGTGTCGTTAAGTTACTGGATCAACACAAAGATAAGGGAAACGTGAGGTTAGCAGGTGTATATGCCACTTCAAATCGGGGAATTCTCCTTTAGTTATAGGTACCCTTGCATCAAATAGTTTTAACAACCGAGGGTCCCCAATAGGGTTCTTCAATCCGTAAAATTTCGTGCAATCCCGTAATCCCGAGGGTTACTTCTGGCTTTCCACCTCCCGCGCATGCTTTCAATCCAGAATCTCCGATTTTGCTTTATTATCCCGAATCCCGAGCCTCAAATAAGAGAAATCCCGGATCCCGAAAAAACTATTGGGGACCCTCACAACATGGGCTCCTGTTAAACAAAGATTTCCTCTTGCGTAAATTTATTTTACTTAATATTTACTTAGTTATTTGCCATACAAAAAAAGTAAAATACAGCTCATAATGCAAAACAATAGAGACGAAGCAGAAGTAGAAATGAAATGAAAGAAAGAAATTTAATTAATGAACTTGGAAATGAATTATTCTAAGTTTAAATTATTTTTTCCGTTAATTGTAGACATTGTAGGTATTGACATGCCATACCCTGATATTAATACTGTAGTATAAGGACAGAACTGTGAATATGAAAAATTAATTCATGGTTTTAGGATGATTATTATCTAAAAGCAACAAATGCAAGCATGTACAGTGGCAGATCCAGGGGAGGGGCAGGGGGGGCAGAGCCCCCCCTTACTTTTAGACCAAACTGAGGCCAAAAGGCCTGAAAAAATTTTTTGGAGACTGCTCCCCCCCTTTCCACTGATGCATACAAGAACATCATCAACATAGACAGGTGTAAGTTAAATGTACCTATTAAAGGAGCTTGGGCATGTCAGGCATGTGTATTTTTGGAGCTGCAGTTTATTTTAAATTAATTTTCTGTACAAGTAAATATAAAAGTTTAATTTATGGGAAGATTATATTTTGTAGTGTAGTGGTTTCCACATACAGAAATAAACTGAATTGCTGAGATTATGTTATGACTTAGTAGTCACTGTTTGGGGGGTTTTCAGGAACTGATGGTCGAATATGCTCTTTGATGAGATATGAGGGGAAAGATATGATGTACAATTTACAGTCTGTCAATCAAACAAAACTATACATAACAAGTTAGAATTTTACACAAAGAATTAGAATTCTGACTTATTTTTTCTGATGATTTTGCCTGCATCAGGATCATTCCTGTTTGCAAGCTCAAAAAGAAAAGATATTATGTTTTCAGTATTGCTTTTTGTGATCTCCTAGCTTAATTGTCCCTTCATTTTATATACAAGTCATACTATCATTGGCATTACAGGAACCAAATCAAAACACGTGACTGGCCCAAGACAGAAAGGATATTTTAGTCAACAAGACTTTCTCCGTCTCGGCCCTCTTTTTTTTTTCTAACTTTTTTTGCTCCCTCTCTTGCTCAACGTTCTTGTACCTCTTGTCACTTTTAAAACTGCGGTGTGACATGTTGGACAAAACAGGAAAAAATTTTCATCTATGTGTCTACTTATACATCACTAGCCTGCAAGCAAGCTCTCCGGGGCATTCTGGCAGCGGGGCGGCAAAAAGGAAGGAGAGATTGCAACTTCTCTGTATCGAAAAAGTCGATGCAAAATGTCTGCAAAATGCTGATTGGTGGAGATGACATTAATAATGTTTTTCAATGTTTGTTTACATTCGTGCTCGTTTCTGCTTCTGGCTGATTGGCGGAAATCTGACAGCTCAGTCGACAGGGAGCCAGAGGGGAATTGGAGGTGGAATTCAAATTCCAGAGACATAGTTGCAAGCTCTCCTTCCTTTTCCTGCCCCTCAGCCACAGGGCCCTGGAGAGCTTGATTGCAGGCTAATACATCACAGGAATGAATAATCATTGCTAGCATTGTATTCATTACAATGGTATAATAGGGAGGGGGAGGAGTATAAAACTGAAGCTATGAGAAAGAAACTTGAAAGGGGTGGCTCTCACAAAAGGAGTTGAACCTATGACTCGCCCCATGTAAGGGAATCCAGGACAGTCTTGGATTGAGGATTCTGGATTCCAGTATTTGTCCGTAGAACTTGGATTCTGGATTCCAATCGTTAGTGGGATTCCGGATTCCTTTAGGTGTATTCCGGATTCTGCAAACCCCAGGATTGTGGATTCCATAATCAAAATTTTCCCGGATTCAAGATTCCACAAGCAAAAATTTCCCAGATCCCGGAATCCCTTATGTGGGGCAATATGACATTTTGCTGCCAGTACACATCATCTACACTAGTGGACAGTCGAACAGGTTACCAGACTAGGGATCATAACATTGTTGCAGTTGAACTCGCCAGAGGGTCACACATAGTGATAAGCAAAGCAAGGCCAATGATAGGTTTGACAAGAAGAAACTTTTCAGCTTGTTCACGTGGTAAAAATACAGACTGGAATTCTAAACACTCTCAAATATTGGTCCCTTTCCATGTTTGATGTTTGATAGAAGATTATGTTTCCATTCCTATTTCCATTTTTAAATCCCTCCCTCCCTGAATTCTCTGATCCCCCAAATCCTGAAAATGTGCCCTCCCATTCTAGCAACTCTAATGAAAATGCAACCTGATTCAGCAGCACATCCCCATTAGCCTATTACTAGGAAGTACCCCCCCCCCCCCTCCCACTGGGTTCATTCATTCATTCATTCATTCATTTTGCCATTAACCACATTAACAATATACAAAAAATTTAGAATATATTAAAGACAATAGACACTGTTCTAAATAAATTATTTTACAAAATAATGTTTGAAGTAGTAATATTGACAAGAAAGCCCATAAAGAAGCCAGGGGCTTTATGATATATTTGCTTCCAGACAATAAAGGTTCTTACTAGTGTGTTGTTAAAGTACATGCAGTTGTAGTTACGGTAATTTTATTTTTTCTTTGTTTCAACTTCATTAGCATACATTAACATACCCAAAAACAAAAGAAAAACAAAAATTACCTGAATACTACAACATTATTATTATTAACTAACTACAACCTACATATTAAATTAATAACATTGCTTTTTAGGGGTCGCCAATTCGGATTCCATTAGAAAAAAAAGATGGCATCTCATTTTGAAACATTTTCGGAATACAACATTTGAGCGACAAATGAAGCAGTCGTACAAACACATACCAACAAAGCGACAAATTTTGGCTTGTTGGTGTTTACTGGTAGGTAGAAAATTATTTTCATGCTGAATTTGCGAGAAAATTGTAAACATGCACTAAACAAAATCCCCGAAATGCTTGTAAATTGTGAACAAAGTTCCTACTAAGGGATGTTTTTAATTTACAAAAAGTCACTTTTTTCACTTCTATCCAACTAATTTGGTAGATACTAAAACAACTATCCCCCTCAGGGTCAATGGATGGTGGTGGATATATACTGAGACATGAAGCGTCAAGGTATATATCCACCACTATTCACCTCCCCTCCCCTTTCATTGTTTTCAGTTTTAGTTACGCAACACTCCTGGTGAGGAGCGTTGCGTGACGACTCTAAAAACGGCTGCGTAGCAGACTAATACTTAATAAGCCATTTTTAAAAAATACTTGTCCTTCCAAAATTTTGTATAAGCATTGTTTTCAATTAAACTTAATTCTCTCAAGGCAATTGACCACTCCAGAAAGTACCATAACATACCATAATGCTTTTTGTGTGTCACCCCAAAATTTTGTATAAGTATTGTTTTCAGTTTCTCTTGTGGCCATTTTAACTCCCAAGAGAAACTAAAGACAACGCTTACGCAAAATTTTGGGGGGACAAACAAAGAGCATTATTGTATGTTATGGTATTTTCTGGAGTGGTCAATTTGTAAGGTCCAAGGGGAATTGAAAACAGTGCTTAATGCAACATTTAGGAGGAACAACAGAGAGTATTAACCCTTTAGGTCCCAAGAGTGTGCAACATCAATTTTCTCCTAACAACATCAGCAGATCAACAAGAATAAAGGTTATGAGAATTACTAAATTGATTATACCAAAGGGAGAATGCTTTGATCTTAAACCAAATTCTCTCAACTATTCTTAAAAGAAATGTATGTAGATCAGCCTGGAGAATTTGTATTTGGATCTTGAGGCTTAAAGGGTTATGGTATTATTTTTGAAAATGGCCTATTGCTAACAAGCATATTTGTTCCTTCACTGGGTTCGTTGTTTACTCACAACTTCCTTCTTGGAAAAAACTGCAAATAAAGAAACAATGCCTGACAAACTGATGTCAAAACTCAAGAGCACAATAAAAAGATTGCGCTCAATTTGATCAACCAAATACAAAATTATAAGCGCCGGTGTATTTAATACAATTCTGTAAAATATGGCACAGGAAACAAATGGGTGATTGACACAACTGGCATTTGTCACGTGCTCCCAACCATGAATGAACAAGGTAAAAAACACGCATGCTAAGAACCCGCCTGAATGTCCTTGGAACTGATCAAGGTGGAAAATATTCTGGGCTATGTCTGGCCTGATAGTGAAAACAAGCCAGAAAAACATTGTGAAAATTCCAATGAAAAAGACTGCTGCCATTGAATATCCTGAAGTAACTCCACGCAACTTTAGTATTGGCAAGAAGACCTCCTGAAAGAAAAGGATCACTGAAGCTCCCTCTGTCTCATGGACCCATATCACCAAGGTAATGAGTGCCAAAGCCGAGTCGAGGATCATAAATGTCAGAGCAAATGAGAGTGGAACCATGTCACTTACGACCATCATAAGAAGGAACCCATTCACGTACACAAGCCGTCCAAATATAGCCCCCAAAATGGTTCCATTTCTAGGGCTTTGGTCAGTGGATCGTGCTGTGATAATGAGATGAAAGCCAATAATAAATACCCCCAGAAGAGTAAGTCGAAGATAACTTTCAGTGCGGCCCTGGAAATCAATACGGAATACTATCTTCCAGAGCTGAACCCAGACGAGTAAGACTAAACCTCCAGCGCAGTAGAAGATTAGGGAAGACCACATCGTAAACTTTTGTATCATGGTCATGGGTTTAGCTCTTGGAATAGAGAACATGAATCTGAACCAGTCACAAATCACTGACTTAAAAGTCTTCATTTTGGTCTTTAAGCTGAAATGTAAAGAAGGTTCCATTTAGACTTTCATCTGGTTTTAAAAGGAGGGCCTAAGTTTGAACATTGATGCTTAAAAATTAAAGATTATTTTTCATGCCTTATTGTACTCATCATATTTTTTCTTCAATGTTCAAAGGTAATGGAGTGGCACATGTACAACACACAGGCCGGGAGGGGCTGTGCTCTCCTTTCTCGTGTCTCATGCGACTGCCTCACAATTCACTGATCACCTGATACAAGTGATACACACTATCGTTGAAGAAAATTAAGAACTTCTCGCTATGCACCATAAGTAGTAGATAGTTATCTACTACTACTGCTCTACTTATAGTCCTTATAATTCTCCTTATTAGGAGATTGTGTTAATATGAAGAAAGGATTAAATTACATTGTGTGATTTTTTGAAAGGCTTTTTCTCCTTTGAAAGATCTTCACTATTTTTAGAAATAGTCATGCTTTTGTATTACGCAAGTTAAAAATAGATGACATAAATTCTTTGAGAATGGAGGCAAATAATAAAATGAAGAATATCTCTGGGGAATTGACAGTGGGCACCGAAATTACGTGAGGCATAAATTATTTTAAAGTTGCCATGGCAAAAATTTAGCTTCCAACCCAGGCCTCTTTCTTGCAAGAATGACACTCCTCCTTTGACAAATAGTACTAAACTTATTCAAAGCAGAAAGTGAAACAAAAATTTTTCCAAAACAAAATTTTGCTATGGAAACATCACAATGCACCTCATGTTCCTTTCTTAAGGCACAAAATTGGTGCTAACTTTCAATTATGGCAATGCCTTCTCTCCAGAGATATTTTTCTGTTTAGTATTGTAATAATTGAAGGGTATTTTCCTCTCTTCCATATGCCTTTGAAACTGGCCCACAATGATTGATACAGTCTAACCTCTCCTTACGGACAACTCTAAAATACCAGCACCTCTCTATTACCAACAGTTGGTTTGGTCCCAGAAATGTCAAAAATCATACATTTCCTACCTCTGTAATATGGACACCTCTGTAAAGAAGACACTTGGTTCTGTCCCTTTAGTGTCCGTATTAAAGAGGTTTGACTGTAGACACATCATGTAGCAATATTAATTGTTCTTGCAAGCTAGTCAGTATTAATGCATTTTTGAATAAAATTAAAGTTGGAGCTTTGAGGAGCTGCATTTTTAAGATTTTTGTATCATTTCATTCTTTATAAATTATATTTTAACCGGAATTTTGTCATCATACACAATATATTCAATAACGTAATGGGTCTTCACTTGACCAAGGCATTAAAAAAACATTAACTTTGGAAACCAAACACCATGGTTGGATAAAACCTAACGTCAGACCTGCTAACTAACAACATCTTGTCTTGTTTAAGCTACAATCCTGGACAAAACTACTTGAGAAAATGTTCTCATCAATGCACACTACCTAACGCAACAAAACTATTTCCAAATCAACGGCTTTGCGTAAAGAATACCCCCTCCCCCAATTCAAAGTTGCTTCCTACAAATGCTTAGGGATCCGGCTTTCTTTTGAAGACCCAACAACACTGCTTCCAGGGGGAGGGGGGGAGGGAAGAATCGGTCAGCTACGAAGTTCAGAAAAAATGCCCCCCAATTATGCCATTTTCTCAACAGTTTTGTCCAAGATTGTAGTCAAGAATGCAAGCTGTTTCCACAAGCAAAAACAAGGGTTTTTATCTCTTTTACAACCGGAAATTCAGGCAGAGTTATACCACCTTGCAAAATAGTATAACTTGTCCTGGCAAATACTGCAGCCAACTGGGTCGCAAGTAGTGACAGACGCCTGCCAAATAATCTGGTAATATTATTTTCCACACAATCACCTCATGGTTGAGCTTGAGAATTTCAACAAGGCAAACAATTCCAACAATCACTTCTTTTGATTTACAATCCCACTGACCTCATTGGATTCTCCGGTTCCCAGACCAGGTCCTTATCTTTTTCAGAGAGCTGGTGTGCAAAACTACTTACCACATTACAACCCATCACAAGTAGTTCCACTCCCGGGGGTGGGGGGATGGGGCGTTGGTACACCTGGGAATTCTTGGTGGAGGTGTGCCACCAAGTTCTCCAAATCCTGACCCTATTTCAGATGAAAAAATGTCATTTTCCACACCAGACCTCTAAAATCCATACCTGTTTTCAGACCTGGCCTTTGGGCAGAAATTATGTTATCATTACTTAGATTAGAGCGCACACAAAAAAATTCTATTCTTCAAAGCCATTTTCAATTCGCATTAATTTTTTCCCTTTCTTTCTTACTCACTTGGAATTGAAACGATAGATACCTTCATAGACTCCCGTAGTTCCCTCGAAAATCATGTCCGATTCCAGTCCAAAATGGGCAAAGTGTACACCCATTTTCAGACCAAAACGGCGCAAAAACCCTACCCGATGGGGCAGCACATACCTATGGTAAAAAAGGGGGTGCCCCTCCCCGCCCCCCTCGCGGTTACACTACGCCTTCTATGCCTCATCCGTCTCCCTCTACAAGGAGCGAGACGTAAACCTCATCCGCTGAATAAAACTCCTTCTCCTTCGCAAAATTACCGCGAGAATGATCACAAGAGAGGTATACAAGCGCCTCGTTCCCCGCCATCTTTTTTAATATGGCGTGCTCCTCTTGAGTTAGGCGGGCAAAGGTAGCTAAAGGTTCACAGTGAAAACAGTTGTCACGTCTACTTAGTAAAAGCCGCTTTGTAAACAAAGCCCTAGAAAGAATGTTGACCAAGTAAATCGGCCAAGTGAATTTAACAAACCACTGCAAGGAGTCGTTTAAAATGACAGGAAAGGATGCACAGTAAACCTGAGTAAACCCGCTTTGCTGTAACCACTTGAGTAGAGATATGGAACGCAACTGATAAGAAAGGATTATAACTACCAAAGGTTCACACTTGGTCGCAGAGATACATGTAACTAAATGGGGATGTTTAAAGTTCTCAGTATGACTTACCGTTTGATTGTCAATTAGTTTTTGTCTCACAGTGCGTCGCTGATGTAGCCTTGAAAACATGCACAGTTTGTTACACAGTTCATTGCACACATTCGGACGGCGCGAACCGGCCTGGGTACGAAGCTTGCTGTGGTTGACCGCGTGACGTCTCGTGTTACGTCCCGCGTGACGGCAAGCAAGTAGCGAAATAAACGCATTTCTCAACACTTCCTCTTCTTTGGACTGGTTTTTGGCTTATTAGCATAAGAATGGCTAAAAATGAGTTTGGCAACGAAAAGGGCATACAGTCTACTCCCGATAACTGAAACCTTCAAGGGGAATCGGAAAAAGTTCGAGTTATCGGGAGCTCGAACCAAATAGCCGGAAGTAAGGGAAAAACCAGTTTTTCACAGTACAGTGAACATTTTAATCACATTTAATTGTAGAAATGTTAAGTGAAAATTGAAAAGATACTTCTAGATTGTAAATCAGAATGTAACGTAAAAAACAAAGCCTAAATAGAGCATGCCTTTTAAAGCTGCTTCACCGAGATTTGTGAAAAATCTTAGGAAAAAAGGCTGCGTACGCCCGAAAATTAATATAGAGCGTTTTATGAACACCTTTGTAAATAGGTTGATTTTTAAGCTCCATTTATTGTAATGATACACTTTTTTAATATATACATATAACGTAGATATTTTTATCATAGTTTTTATCTTCCCTTATTGTAACATAAGATATGTAGTTTTATCTTTTGGTGAAATAAAGACTCATTATTATTATTATTATTATTATTATTATTATTATTATTATTATTATTATTAACAACATCAGCCTTCACTAGTAAACTATATACCTACAACACGTCAATGGGAAATTCAAAATCAACGTTTCGGAAGACGGTACACTGTTTTTTCCCTGACTTTTTAAGCGCTCAAAACATGGTTGGAGTTATCGAGGGTAAAATTATATGGAAATGATCTAAGGGGAAACAAAAATTACTTCGAGTTAGCGAGAGGTTCGAATTATCGAGGGTTCGAGTTATCGAGGGTAAAATTATAGCCTGCGTAGCAGGCGCTTGGAAGTAGTGGGCACAAGAAAAAACGGGCGCGCGAGAAGGAGACACGCGAGACATCCCTCGCGTGTCTCCCTCGCGTGCGCCCGTTTTTTCTTGTGCCCACTACTTCCAAGCGGTAGCAGGCTAGTAAAATTACAGTAAATATATAAAGGAAATCCAAAGGAAGTCGATTTTGGTTCGAGTTAGCGAAGGTTCTAGTTATCGAGAGTCAACTGTATTTTCCGACTGTATTTTTCGTGCATGCGCACAAGCCATTTTGTTTTCGAATCTATTTCGATCTTTCTCTCTCGTTCACTTTCATTTTGCCTTTCTTCTTTATAAGCAGTTTTCAGGCCCGGCCAGGGGGGGTAGTGGGAAACCAATATACCCGCTATTTTGCCCCCAAGATACCAATATACCTCAAAATCGTAAAATGTTTGATACTAAATACCTAAAATTATTTTGAAACAGAATACTAAATACCTGAAAATGAACAAATTAGATCTTAATAAAAGAGAAACTCCTTGTTCACTGTCTTCTTCCGCTTCCTTTGCGGTCGGCCAGCGTCCATGGTGATCGGATCCTCGTCACCTTGAACGTCAACGCTCTCTGCAAAAGGTTCTTCATCAGCTTGATTGAGAGATAGGTGGTGTCAGTCGATCCGTTCACCAAGGCCAGGAGCAGATAATACGCCTCCTCATCGATTTCAACAGTTTCATTGTCAACAACTGTAATGCCGCTTACAATCCCCTTTATGCCCTCTTTTGGGATGACATGCTCTTCTCCCGAAGTAGTAAATGGGAGAGGATCGACAACATCTTGGGTGTAAAAGAGAGTTGTTACATAACGAGCACTGTCATAGTCATCAACCACATCCTCTAATAGTTTTGTAATATACAGTGGGCTGTTTGGAGCAGAACTCGGTTTGTATATTCGGGAAACTACAACATACGTAGACTGGGCGATGACAATGTTACGAGCTGTGTTGGTATCTTGGTGATGAACGGGGATGTCTTCATTGTCAAGCACGTCAAAGTCAACTGAATGTTGCTCCGGGGGTGCAGACTCGTACAGGTTCAATGGCAAGGTGCCTGGCTTGTCTTTTGTTGAACCGTTCCTCGTGGTATTCTGTCTGACACTCTTTATACCGTACTGCTGTACCCACTGACGGATCTCATCCAATTGCTTCTTGGATAAGCAACCAGACAAAGGCTTCGGTAATTTCGCACGGTCGCACAAGTTAATATCAACATCACCTAAAGTAGGCTGAAGGTAGTACGAGGTCACTGGATTTGTAAAGTACCTCTAGCTCGTACCTGTGACACGTTTTAATAATTCGTTAATACATCGGGGAAAACGCAAGCAAATGTCGAGCATCATGGGAGTGTCCGTGTTTAAATACCTCCTCTCATACTGGAAAAGAAGTTTTCAAGAAAGAGAGTTAAAAGGCTTTCAACGTCTAAGTGTTGAATGAAGTTTGGATTGAGTTCCATCACCTTTGTCCTCCGTCTAGTGAGGCCTTCCAGTATCATCTTCACGGAGTTCAGTGTAGTAGCAGATAGTGTTCAGTCTGGTCCTTGGGTCTGAGAAGTTGAGCCCTTGATACCGTGAACTTTCAACGAGGCTTCTTCGTGAAAAGCGTAGTAATGCTGGACGCGGGTAATTGTCTCATCAAAACTTAACCTTGTGGATGACCCAGTCAGATTAAAGGCTGACAGAAGGAGCCACAGGTTTTGCAAGTATTTGATTAGGGCTTGAACACAATTTCGGGCATCCGCACTATTTCTAGTCAGCATTAGAGCGATAATAAAACTGAGAAATGAACAAGACATTTCTTAGTGATTTCTGTACCATATACCGAATACCTAAAATTCAGGAAAAACTGAATACTTTATACCCCAATTTTGACCAAAAAATACCATATACCTGAATTAAAATGGCCCGGGATACCGTATACCCAAAACCCCTGGCCGGGCCTGAGTTTTGTTGTCCACTTTGTTGTCTTTCTTTTGCATGGAATTGTGGCTGGCTAACTTTTTAGCAAAATGAAAAAAAAGAATTGATCTTCCAAGAGTAGTCAGGTAAACAGCAAAACTAGCAGTGGATTTTCCCCAAAATGTTACTTTTTTGTGAGAGTAACTCTGTCAAGGTTTAGCCAGAACATCCAAAACGAGGTTTTTGCTGATGTTGGTTATAAAAAATGAGTGCTCTGATCATAGTGACACTAGATATTATGTATTGTAAGGCAGTAAAGGGGGTATTGTCTTCAAGTTTCATATGTTTCTGGACAACAATATTGCATTTCTGCATATTTCAAATGCATTGTTAATAAGGGTCGTTTTCGAGAGAGTTTTTGAAAGTATTTGACTGAGAAACAAAACGGTTACACTTGAGGGGGGTGGTCGCTATGAGAGAGTTGACAGTAGTTAAAATAATTATTCCGTTTTCCTTCGCTACTTTTCTTTGTTATTGCCCCCATTTTAAGATCTCAAGAGTATATAAAAGGAAAGTGTATTTCTTAATTGCTTTGTCGAGAATGATTTTCGCTGCCATGTTTTGCTAGAATTCTTGGTTTGCAACCAAGTGACAAGGCGGCCACGTTGAGTGACAATACAACAAAACTTTTTGTTGAAAACTTTACATGAAAATAGAGTTAAGATCACAGAGGAGAGAAAGGCTTTTGTTCTTGGCATCCTGAACATGGTCTTCGTGACGTCACGTGCAAACCAGCAAACGGGTAGTTCATCGTCGCTCATTAACTTTCATTAATTTAGTACAGTCGACTCCCGATAACTCGAACCTTCAAGGGAAATCAAAAAAAGGTTCGAGTTATCGGGAGTTCGAGTTACCGGGAGTTCGAAGAAAATAGCCGAGAGTAAGGTAAAAAACAGTTTTTACTGCACAGTGAACATTTTAATCACATTTAATTGTAGAAATTTCAAGTGAAAATTAAAAGATACTTTTAGATTATAAATCAGAACGTAACGCAACAAAACCTAGCCTAAATAGAGCATGCGTTTTACTATTTTGAGAAGAAAAGCTGCTTCACGTTAGCCTGTGACAATCAACATTAGCCTCCACTAGTAAACTATATATACTCCCACAACACGTCAATAGGAAAACCAAAATTCAATGTTTCGGTCGCCAGTAGACGGCTTTTTTCCCGAATTTTTAAGGGCTCAAAACATGGTTCGAGTTGTCGAGGGTAAAATTACATAGAAAATGACCTGAAGGAAAACGAAAATTGGTTCGAGTTAGCGGGAGTTCGAGTTATCGAGGGTTCGAATTACCGAGGGTAAAATTATAGTGAATGTATGACGGAAATCCAGGGGAAATCGATTTTGGTTCGAGTTAGCGCGAGGTTCGAGTTAGCGAGGGTTCGAGTTATCAGGAGTCAACTGTATTCTCGAAAGCAACACTCTTTGCTGTTTTTCAATTACTGTCGAGCATTGTTCCTTGAGTGGGTTCGTTGTTTACAGCTGGCGACATGACTTCCCTCTTAGAGAAAACCGCAAATAAATAAATAACTACCGACAAACCGATGTCAAAACTCAAGAGCACAATAAAAAGATTGCGCTCAATTTGATCAACCAAATACAAAACTAAAAGCACCGGTGCACTTAACGCAATTCGGTAAAATATGGTACCTGGAACAAATGGGTGATTGACACAACTGGCATCTGTCACGTGCTCCCAACCATGAAGGAACAAGGTAAAAAATACGCACGCTAAGAACCCGCCTGAATGCCCTTGGAACTGATCAAGGTGGAAAATATTCTGGGCAGTGTCCGGCGTAATGGTGAAAACAAGCCAGAAAAACATTGTGATAATTCCAATGATAAAGACTGCTGCTATCGAATATCCTGAGGTAACTCCACGCAACTTTAATATCGGCAAGAAGACCTCCCGAAAGAAAAGGATCACAGATGCTCCATCTGTCTCGCGGACCCATATCACCAAGGTAATAAGCGCCAATGATGAATCGAGGATAATAAATGTCAGAGCAAATGAGAGCGGAACCATGTCTCTTACGACCATCATAAGCAGTACCCCGTTCACGTACACAAGCCGTCCAAATATGGTCCCCAAAATGGTTCCATTTCTAGGGCTCTGGTCCCTGGATCGCGCCATGATTACGATCTGAAAGCCGAGAATAAATACCCCCAGAAGAGCAAGTCGAATATAACCTTCAGTGCGGCCCTGGAAGTCAATACGGAAAATTATCTTCCAAAGCTGAACCCAGGCGAGTAAGATGAAACCTCCAGCGCAGTACACGATTAGTGAAGACCACATCGTAAACTTTTGTGTCATGGTCATAGGTTTAGCACTTGGAATGGAGAGCATGAATTTGAACCAGTCGCAAATCACTGACTTTAAAGTCTTCATTTTGGTCTTGACACTGAAATGTTAAAAAAAGGCTCCATTTAGATTCTCGTCTGGTTTTATAAGTTCCAAAGCAGGAATTCAAGAGGAGGGTCTAAGTTTGAACAGTGATGCTGATGATGATTCTGATTGATTAAAGATGATTTTTTGAATGTCTTATCAGTGTACCCGTCATATATTTTCGTCAAAGTTAATTGAGTGGCACGCGTACAAAACGACGGCCGAGAGCGGTTACACCTCAACTCAAAGGAGTGTAAAAGGGATCAGAAAAAACGATAGTTTCGCTTTCGTCAGGTTCCGCTCTCGTTTCTCGCGTCTTTCGCCTTCTTTCGCGCTTTCGTCAGGTTCCGCTGTCGTTTCTCGCGTCTAGCTGACTGCCTCGCCGTTCACCACTTACCTGGTAAGCATGATACACACTATCTTTGAAGAAAAATAACCCTCGCTATGCACCGTACGCCTTGTAGACCTTATAATTCCTCTTATTAGGAGATCGTGTTACCATAAAGTAAAAATTAAATTAAGATTTTTTGAAAGTCGTTTCAAAATAAAGGACATTTTTTCTCCTTTTCATGGTTTCACTCCTTTTAGAAATGTTTGTGCCTTTTAATTAAGCAAGCTAAAAAAAATGATGACGTAACTTACGCTTTGAGAATGGAGGCAAATAATAAAATGAAGAATATATCCAGGAAAAGGTGATAATGAACTTGGCACTGAAATTGTGAGGCATACTGTAAAGTTGTCATGGCAACAATTCAGCTTTAAGGCCTCTTTCTTGCAAGAATGACATTCCTACTTTGGCAAATAGTAATATTTGGGTGAAAGCAGAAAGTAAAATATATTTCATAACAAAACTCTTGCCATGGAAACATCAAAATGTACCTTATGTTTCTTTTAGACCAGTTTCGATATATTAAAATTCATGCTTGGCTCCGAGGCTTAGGGGAATAAAACAAAAGAAATGTATTATAATTATTTATTATCATTTGAAGCAATTTTTTCTTTTTTTTCATTGGCCGAGAGCCCACCACGTGTCCTGCAAATAACTGGCTACAAATAATGGTCTGCTCATGCGCAATGCCGTCCAACTGTGTTTGGCTGCAAATAATATTCTGCACATGCGTAAAGGAAACCGTGCTTTTCTCCTTCTTGCGATCGCTCGTACGTGAAAATGGCAGATCGCTTCGCTTCCGGAGGATATTCATTAAAAAAACAAACTCGGTGATCGAATGATAAAACAGTTATTGAACTCGGTTATCGCAAAATATCGTGATTTGTCAGTGTCTCGTAGATCAATTATTTACCTCAGCCTTCGGCTTCGGCAACTGATTGGTCCGCTCGCCACAGACAAATCATGATAGTTTGTTCAACCCCGTCCAATAATTGTTAATTGTTGAGCCTCAAGATTATTTCTTTTGTTTTATTCCCCCAAGCCTCGAATCCAAGCAGGAATTTAAACATATCGAAATTGGTAACGCCTTCTTTACGGGGATATATTTTTTGTTAAATACTGTAATTTAAAAATGTATCCTTGTCCTCTACTTTAACAGCTTATTTCCAAAAAAGCTCAACAAGGTCGATGCTCTGAGTATTTTATCCTAATTACCATAAAAGTTTGCAAAACTTGATTTTCATTTAATAACCGATCGTAAGCGAGCTGTCGTTTTTAAACGACTCATTATGATCAAACGAGGTAATCATCAGGTCAAGACCGTTAGCTTTAATTCACAAGCTGACGAGCAGACGGATTTGGTAGCCGCGTGTTGTTTATACAACCTTTTAAACTCTGTTTAGGTAAATTTCGAAGTGCTCGTGCCCATACATGCATGACACTAAGTCACGGCAACGTTTCAAGGGAGTTGCTAGTCAATCTTACACTTATTTTAAAGAGAATCTAAACTAGTCTTGGTCGCACTGGAAGCTCCCTTTCTCTCGGCTTCCCAGGAAAGGCGTAGTTTAACTTTACCGAAACCCCATTGCTGTAGAAAGTCGTTCCAAAAGGGAAAGGATTCACAGCTAATCCGCTTCCGTAACCGCTTTGGGTGAAAAAATAGAACTATGATTTACATACCTGCCAAAGGTTCACTCTGCCGCGAAAGATTTCAACGCGGAGATACATGTAACTTAATGGGGATGTTTTTACAGTTTTTAGTATGACTTACCGTTTGATTGTCAGTCGGTTCTTGTCTCACAGTGCGGGGCTGTTGTGGTGTTTAGTTAACTGTTGATACAGTCGTCCTTTAAAAACATTCGGTTTTAACCTCGCGGTGCACTTGAAATGGTCACGTGATTATGTGTTGTTGAACTGTGCAGATTGGCTATAAATTACTGTGAGCTGTGGATTATTCCTGATGATCACAAAGCGGTTAAAAGGTAACACATTTCATAGCAAAGACTGTGTTTACCTTAATGAAAGTGTATGAATAGTAAACTCGTTAAGCTCGAAATTGTGTCTCGCCTGACCGCACCTCGTTGCCTACAACGATATTGAGAGACCAAGGCACAACTGAAGCGCGCGCATACCGGAGAAATAACACAAATAGCGGGTTATTTTTGCAACATCATTTTCCATTTTAATTGCATTTTTAGTCATTTCTTCATTTGCGGATAAATCCTGATTAGATATTGGCCATTAAATGAATTAAAAATTCATCTGGTTGACTTCAACGCTTCGTCTCATTTTGGTCAAAATTTTGACAGGTCAGATTCATGCGTGAAACTTAATTTATATACTGGAATCCCTACAAGAGAGTTACTCCTTAAAAAGCAAAGCAGTCTTGTATACTATTCCAATAGCTTCTTTTCCTTACTTACTTTCCACTTATATTAAAAGAGAGTCGCATAAAAAATGAGTGAACACACAGTTGCCGTCAAGAATTGTGGTCTTATTACAAGCAGGCTTGTTTTGCTAATTGTTATTCAAATTGGTTGCCAGGTATCAATTTCTCTCTTAATACGAGCGACAAAAAATTTATCAGTACATAAAAAAATAACCAGTTAGAAAAACCTTTCAGTTTCATGTACTTCTAATAACCCGGGCTGGTTATGCTTAAAACAAAGCAACCAAGTCTTGGAGTACTCATTAATTGACATCTCCGTTTTTCTGTTGAAGCATTCACAGACCTATTTGTAGTTCGATAGCTATTTTTCTTTACATACTTGTTCACTAGCGTTTTATTCTTCAAATACTGGTAATTTTGTACACATCACTCAATTAGTTTTTGACTTAAAAGAATTTCTTATTTGTTCAGTGAAAATTCATCGCTGATTTCGGGTGTCGCATGCCCTGACTCTCCTTCTCCGCGATGAATATTCTGCGGGAAAAAACATGTTTACCTTTTATATATCCATCAATGAAAATGTGTTGCTTCGCATTTGGGAGTTTCTCTTTCAAAATTTGTGGGCTTCCGAATAGTGAAATGTAACAATGGTAAGAAATCACTTCGCCCGGTTTGTTTTTTATTTCGTCATTACACGCTCCAATTATTGAATCAAGAGGCAACAGTTCATTTGTTTTGAACACTGGTTTCTTTTAACGAGAGCAAAACGAACAGAGCAGACAATCATTACATAGCTGGGAATGATTTCCAGGATTATTCACCCTCTTACTCCCAGCAGAGATTGGTATGTAACTTCTCCTCAGAATATCCAATACATTGTTCTACAGATGGGGAGAATACGCAAATTTATCAATCAGAGCATTCTATATTGATTTCGCCCAAAGTTATCTTAGCTAACATTCAATAAAATTTTTAGCAGTCAGGAAGGAGAAATAATAACCAAATCCTGGAAGTTAAAGGATTAAAATGCACTGATGGTGAAGCAATGAGAAAGGCGATGAGACGTGCATCAATGACCGGATTATTATTCCAGTTTGAGTTTGCATTCGAGCTCGAGTTTCATAAGTTCAAGTTCGAATTCCAGTCGCTAGTTTCAGTTCAAGTTCGAGTTCCTCCAAGGTCGAGTTTCACAGAATATTGAGTTTTAATTCGCGCTCAAGAGAACTTGCTCGCAGTCTACGTATGAACGTAACACCGGAACGCATAAATTTTCAAGCGGGCGAAAGTTCGTCCAGTACTGTGTGAACATAGCCAAAGGGTCCGTTTACACGACGGTAGCAAAATGAAACGTCTCGAATAACAAGACCTATGGCGCAAATAAAACTTTCCGTGTAAACGGTCTTTTTAAGGCCCGTTTACATGTCAAAAGGGAGAGAACGATTCAGACGGTTATGACCAAGTACCGGTGGCAGGCGAAACCTCATTGCTGACAAGTTCAATAATTCAGAAAAACGGCACAAGATTTTAGTACTTTTCTTGCTGAATGTTGTTGTTGTTCTTTTCCAGACCGGAGCGGCTACACCTCAACTCAAAGGAGTGTAAAAGGGATGAGAAAAAACCATAGTTTCGCTTTCGTCAGGTTCCGCTGTCGTTTCTCGCGTCTTTCGCCTTCTTTCGCGCTTTCGTCAGGTTCCGCTCTCGTTTCTCGCGTCTAGCTGACTGCCTCGCCGTTCACCACTTACCTGGTAAGCATGATACACACTATCTTTGAAGAAAAATAACCCCTCGCTATGCACCGTACGCCTTGTAGACCTTATAATTCCTCTTATTAGGAGATCGTGTTACCATAAAGTAAAAATTAAATTAAGATTTTTTGAAAGTCGTTTCAAAATAAAGGACATTTTTTTCTTCTTTTCATGGTTTCACTCGTTTTAGAAATGTTTGTGCCTTTGAATTACGCAAGCTAAAAAAAATGATGACGTAACTTGTGCTTTGAGAATGGAGGCAAATAATAAAATGAAGAATATATCCAGGAAAAGGTGATAATGAACTTGGCACTGAAATTGTGAGGCATACTGTAAAGTTGTCATGGCAACAATTCAGCTTTAAGGCCGCTTTCTTGCAAGAATGACATTCCTACTTTGGCAAATAGTAATATTTGGGTCAAAGCAGAAAGTAAAAAAAATTTCATAACAAAAATCTTGCCATGGAAACATCAAAATGTAC